AGGCTTTTCGTGCCGCTTATTTTGATGATTAACTTCTAATTATAATTTACATTATGCGTATAAATTTGTAACATGCACCTGCTCCTTTCGATTCTTCTTTCATGGACTCTCCTTCCTATTCCAACCTGTGCTTTACACTCAAGCCTGAATTTCGCCATTTCTTTTCCAAACACCAATGCTTAATCTTTTATACACTATCTTGAATTTTGGTTCTATTTCCTTTTTTCACTTTCAAATTCATAACTATCAATAACAAACTCAAATACAATGCATAGACAGTCTTTCTTTTCTTTTTATACTGAATATAAATATTGAGATCTCAAAATTAAAGAAAAAGATTCAGAATTTGTTTATAAATGTTTTATATCAGCACAATTTTCATTGCTTTCAAGGCTTTTGAAACATATTGGTGAGGATAACGTCACTGTTATTGTCAATTCAGATTTACTTAACTTTCATTAGGTATACGAATAATCTTCAACTTACCGGTGTTTAAAAGTAGCCTTCACAGCTATTTATCATCTAATCGCATGTATTGTTGAAATTAGAAAAACCCAAAATTCAAGACGCGGTTAAAGTTTCGCAATTTAACAAATATTCGCTTTCATTTGCGTTTCGGAAGCGCAACACCTATTTGTTCCAAAATGATCCTCGAGGGAACAAAAATATATAAAAATAAAATAAAAGAAGAAAATTTACCATTAACTATTGGTTGCTGTGTGAGAATGAAATGTTGTACCGTTTCACCACCATTACGACTAATAATCAACTTCGGTGGTCGTTGCAAAAATATCACTTGTGTCTTCTTCTAAATTAATAAGTTATTATTATTAGACTTAATTTTTGATAAAAATTGAAATCCTTTATTTTCCAGTAATAATCTTAAATAAAATTTATTTCATTTAAATTTCAAGCTTGCCCTGATAATTCCACTGTTTTATAAATTAAATTCTTATAAGTTATTCGTAATCATAATCATCACAACTCAATATTCCTTTTTTTTACTTTTCTATTTGCATCTTCTTGGAAGTGATAATTGTCTGAACAATTCTAAAAGATTGAGAAGTTTCTTCCATTGCTTTACAAAAAAACTCAATCATTCGCTGTTATCTCTTCCTTTCTTCTCTGGGAAAAGATGTTCTCTGATATAAGGACATTAAGCCTAAAATAAAAAAGCCCTAGAATAGCTACAGCTAATTCAGTTTATTTTTTTTAACAAAAAGAATATACCAAAGAATGAACTTAGACAAAAGTCTTTAATTCCGGCAATTTGCACAAGGCAAACAAGGCAAACCTAACTTTTTGATGAATATCTTGCACGAATTATTTTTACACAAAAATTTATTTTATTCATTTGTCAATTTTAAAAAGAGTTCATGTATATCTTAATACCAGTAACTTCTTGCAAAAATTTGATTATAAGACAAGTAAACAATTGAACGAAATATTGAAGTAAAACTACTGTTGCTTAATTTGAACTTTTGGAAACTTTTGGTTATTTAATTATAATTTAGCTAAATTATTCAATTATAATTTTTTCTCCCAGTTACAGAAATTCAATTTTTAAAGTAAGATTGCATTTTAGTTTAAAAAACGATCGAATTTTTCCAACTAACTGGTAAAAAGATTCGACTTAATTGTAATCTAAATGGCAAAGAGGAAGAAAACAAGAATATCGAAAACAACAACTCATGTCATACCCATAATCCTGAATCTTGTTTAATATCTTTTTTTTATTAAGATGGTTATTGAAATTAAAACTATCTAGCTAAATATTCAAGTACAAAGTTTTAACCGTAATTTGATTTCATAACTAAATTTCTTCCAATTATAAAAATTCAATCAACTATCAAATTAGTTCTAAACATTTGGTACATTCTTAATTTTCTAAACTAGGAGGTTTTCAAAAAATTAAATGGAATTTTGATAAAGATTGAAATTAATTGTAAGTGTGAAAAATAAATTACAGCTTGCGATGATGTCGACGGCTCGGTGCTGCCTGATGATGAAGGCACAGTAGTTATCGATGCCGACATACTTTTACCGGGCATATTATGTCACTCGTATTTAGGATGATATAAGAATCTGAAGAAGTATATTTAAAATAATAATATCCTTGGAAATATATTCACTCCGTGAACATTAATTGGTGGAGTGAAGTCAGGATCTGGTAAAAATCAATGGGAGAAAAATGGAGTGGGCATATTTAAAGCCTTGAAAATATATTCTATCTAATGATTTCACCAATTAAGCATCATTCTCATTGCAATAACACCAGCAAGAAGCAGGAAGAATCAAACGACACAGCTTGCAAGCTTGCAATGATCTAAAATCAATGAATTTTTATCCGCTTTTGATTAGAAACTACAGAAATCCATGATGATTTAATACCTTTTACATGTTCATTTATGATATCTGTAAAAGTTTATCACAAATATGTTTTAATCAAGCAAATAAAATAACTTGTGGTGCTTTCCATTTAATCTTATTCATCTACAAAAGTAGAATTTGGAAAGCATATAAATTAACTACAAAGATTCGTAATCCACTCTTTTTTTTCATTTTTCTCCCTCTTTTTGATAAAGAAAAAAATCCATCGCGCAGCAGGATTTACTATAATTGAAAAATTATGAGCATTTGAGAGCTAACTATAATGAGATTTATTTCGAATAATCAATCGAGAACTGAATTTTTCAATTACAGTAAACATGCTAGCCAGGCAAATTTCATTGTGGGTTATATGAATTTCATTCCATATTTCCCAAATGATATTTTATGCTAAACAAATTCCATCCAATGCATTCAAAATATTGTACAGAAAAGTTCAAATATTTTTTGGATAACTGATTAGTTTTGATCTTTTCCCTTTTGGTTATCATTTGTAGCAATTGGTAAGGCATAGGAATTATTAATCTTCTATTCGTCATATCATTTATTTATTTTTAAGTAAAACGACTCACAAAGGGGCTCTCAGATTCAATAAATCCGAGCCTTCGAATTTCTAGGGATTGTTGTAACCCATCCACCATTACCTGCAACCTTTATGAGGTTAAAAAAGAAACCCTAAAATTAGTATGTATCCATAATCATGACAGATAATCAAAGTACTCAAATTTAAATCAATCTAATATCTTTCAATCAAACTCAACATTGAATATTAAACAATTTCGAACATTGAAATCTAATAGTTTAGTATATAACCAAATGATATTAATGCAACAATAAAATTATACGTGCAGGAAAAATATTATTTCGAAAATTTTCTCTTTTAACATTACACCAAAAATTTGCTTATCACTTCGTTTCCCTTTTTTATTTCCTGAATTTGTTACTTCTCCTTTTTCTTTTCCAAATAAAATGTATAAATGCTATTGCTGCAACTAACAGCAACGAACATATTATTTGTTGATAAGTTAAATAAATATGGTCATAGAAACGGTAACGAAAGAAGAAAAGCAGTGATTTCACATAATACATACAAACATACAAACACACATACACACACACACACACACATGCACATACACATGATATAATTTCTATGAATTCAATGAAAAGCGTTGGTTAACGACCGCTGCCATTTAATGGGGTAACAAAAAGCGATACCTTAAAGAGCCTTAAATGGTTCGTTGCTGGAGCAACCAACTGATAGTCATCATTCACGGTACTTTTTCATCTACAGTCAAGTTGAAATTGAAAATAAAAAAGAAATAAGCCTATTTTTATTCTTTCTTCACCTACCTTTATTGTATCCCACATGACAGTAGCTGTGTTGTCACGGCAACAGGAAGTCCTTCTACTTTATCTTTCTGTGAAAGAGAAAGATTACCTTAACTTTCCCTGCTATCTTTCCTTTTTTTGAAAGATTTCGTTTTTAAAAGAAAAAAGAAATATATCAAAATTAGTGGATTTTAAACTGATATGGTGAAAAATAAACACTTGGAAAAAGCCTACCGATAATCTGCTCATCGAAGATTTGCTTAAATGCTTACGGATTAATTTGTAAATGTAACAAAAGCGGTTAAATATTGGATAAATATATAAATTCAATGTGAAATGTTACATAGCAAACGCTACATAAATGATATATGATGAACACATTTATACACGTTTACCTCTTCCAAACATTTCAGTAAGATAAAAAAAAACGAAAAGAAATGAAATTTATGAATAAAAAAGGAAGCTCACCCAAAATGACATTGTGATCCGTTTCATACATATATTTTTGCAATGTATTGGTAAGTATGTAATAAAATTTGATATGATCCTAACTGTCATAAATATCTGAAAATAACATGTAGTTATATTTTAAAATTAAAGTAACATTTTAAAACATTCTCAAATTAAAAGTAGAATAGAAGTAGAGAAACGGTAGGACAGAAATTATAAAATATTCATTATAGCCGTTCTTTCCACGTGATTTTCCCAACACACATTCACCCCATTTAGCACTTAATTTTCAGGAACTTTAATCAGAACGTTAGCAAAGCAATAACTTCACAAATGTATCGATTTTTCATATATATATATGGAGAGAATAATTATCAATTAACCTATGATAACTAAAATCATCAAACAAAACAAATTAATTAGCACCAAAAAACCTCACCAAATTATCAAAATTAAAAGAAATTCCTTTTCCATCAAATTTTTCGCTTCAAAAATTCACAGACCATTTCTGCTAACAATAACTTGGCCCGTGAAATTCTCTACAGCGGGAGTTTGAATTTTGTTTGGTGTAAATTTCTCCTTAAAGGTCAAAGGTTAGACTCTTTCATCCCTTAACCCAATACATCTGTATTTGCATTACTGGAATGATAGAATACGATGACAAATTTCTTGCCAACTCAGATGTTAATGTTATTGTTCAAATTTTTGAAAAAAGCATTTAAAAATTTAGCTAATTTTTTTTGAAAACTTTCAAAAGCAAAAAAATTCTGGATTTTAATTTTATAGGGTTTGTTCTGAATTCTAAAATTGCAATAAATTACACTTTCTATTTGAAATTTACGCGTGTTATTATTGTATGCTGTTTAAATTACAAGAATGTTGATAATATTTCCACTTTTGAATTCCGAACAGTGAAATTCAATTAATTCCTGTCGTGGATTTTAGCAATTACGAATTTTTTTATTTGATTGGTCTTAAATCATGAAAAATTTTCGCATACAAATTCCATCTTTTATAAAATTTAACATTATCTGAAAATGAACTAAAATTGAATGCAAAATGAATGAACAGGTAAATAACTGATGTTATTTTATCAGTTGGTTAATGTCAACTTTATTACAATTTTATCTATAACAATCTTACATTTCTACCTACTTCTTTAAGCCACATATCAATTTTTTTTTTTTGACATATGGTCAAGAGAAATATTTCAGCATTACTCGTTGTGTTTAGTTTGATATGTAAGGAATTGGTTCAAAAAATGAACGCATTATGATTAATTATATTTAAATTTGTGCTTTGTAAATGTTCACTCTAAAATACCACAGAAAGTATATTCGTTGATATTCAGGCAAATTTTTATTAATAAATTAATCACAATTTGGACAAAAAATAATTTGTTGGATGCATATAAGTGCTTTTGATGCAAATTTTCAAAGGAATGTAAAATTGATATTTAAATCACAAATAAAAATTTCGGTGCATTAGTTTAGAAACAGCTCTATGAATCAGAATGTTCTGCTGCTTCAACTATGCTAAAAAAAAAACGAGATGAAATTTTTTAATAACTTATAAAATGTTGAACTGTCTCATGATGTTTTTAGTGAAAGTGATCTTAAATTGTTTTTGTCTTGATCTTTGTTGATAATGACAAAGTTCAAATTAAATGCTCGAAAAAAAAGAAAAATTTATAATAAATTTTGTAAATTAAAATAATATCATGGAATGCTGAAGAAAACATATAGCAATGAACTTCATCTCTTCTCGAATCATGAAATTTAAATTTACGATGATATTTTAAAAATTCAAGTTAATTTTACAAAAAGATCCAATAAAGCTAACATACAGTTCAGATTTATCATCCACTAAGCATTGAATTCGTCTTCGAACTCGAGCAATTTTCTCAAAATCTTTTTTATAGCAGACAGGGCAATGTCTCTCTCTCAACAAACTAAACGAGTTAAATTTGTAATCAATATAGCTCTTCAATCTATTTCATTTTAAGAAACTTTATCAAAAATAAGTTTTTCCTTTTCCTGTTTTAGGCCACTCTTCCTTATTTAAATTTCAACTTCCAATTGTTCATTCAAGATTTACATAAATCTTAACAATTATTTAAGAATTTCCAATTGAAAATTTTAACTAAAACTTTCAAGTTTAATTAGTTTAATTGAAAAAAAAAGTGATAATATTTTTAGCAAAACGAAGACTAACATTAGACAACAGAATCCAATGCAACAATACAGTGAGCCACCGATGCAGAGTAAGAAGCCAAGTTTGGTGAATCGCATTTCAACTGCCTAAATATTTTGGGTAATCACTTAAACCGAGCCTTGTTGTAGCATCATTTAGTCAAACAATACAGCGATTATTGTTTTAACAAAAAAGATGAAATAAGTGAGAAGAATGGAAAAAGAAATGCAAGCGTATCTCCATTTATTCTTTTCTTCTTCTTTAACAAAATTCATAAATTCTTATTCGTACTATTTAAAGTTTGATTAAATTTGTAAAATTTAATCGAACAGAGAAAGATTGAAAAAATAAATACTTTTTCGCCACATTTTCGGCATACTTTTGGTTCTTTTTGACGGAACAAAAACCAACAAATACAACACATTTTGTTTATTTAGCACACAACTGACGATGAAAAAATGATAAATGACAATTTTTATCATTTCTGAGGAATATTTATATTATATAAGAAATTGTTCAATTCAAAAATTTTGCACGACTTTTCAGGTATTACTCATTATTGTTTATTACTATTTATTAATAATGTCATACAATAATTTTGGTAATATGTAAAGAAGATGACCAGGAAATAATATAATTAAATTTGAATGTTTCAACGTAGTATTTCAGCATGAGAGTAATATCATTTTGCCTTGCATGGTGCTGATTGCTAATTAATAAGCAAAATATCTAAAATTTCAGACAAATTGGTTCACGTATTACACATGATTTTGGACGTGTTCGTATAGGTTTGCAGTGGATAGTTTAATTTTAATTGTTTCAATTTTTTCTTGTGATATTGCTGTTCACAATAATTGATAGTGATAACATTTTATGAAAATTAGAAGAAATGTCTTATAGTTTCAATTAAGGAAATACAATAATTTGAAGATTCGTCATTGTTCTGAGAAGTTCGTAATTAGCAGCTTTTTCTTTTGGTTCACTGTTCATAATTTTTTATTGAAAATATTCTTGCTAATGTTCAAAATGAAGTAAAATCCATCACTGCTAACTAATATTGTCATCTTTCCTGTATGAAATAAAAACTGAAATCAAAATTTAAGATTGAATTCCTTTCAGCTTTTTCAGCCATTTCGAATACATCTTATCGAATTCAAGAAATGAAGCATGTACTCTCAAAGTTTTCATAAAGCAGAAATGATAGCAATATTCGAAGCGAATTAATCCGAACTAAACAAATGGAATAGACTGAACGGAATATTTCAGCGGTTATAATCGGTGCCTCTCAAAAGTGATTCATGCAAGTTCAACCATTCCAGTTTTGCCGAGTAAAATCAATTAACAGCATTTGATATCAAAATTGTATTTGGAGTAATGAGATCAACTTATCGTTACTGTGAGTCGCTTTCTCATTTCCGAATGCTAATACAAAAAAATTAGAATAGCTTTATTTTGCTTTTTCTATTAGGTGAACTAGAAAATTGCTATTTTTAAAACGAATTCGAAAATTGTCAAATTCGAATGATAGTAAATAAGAAAAACATTTCAAACAATGTATATAAAAAACAAACGATTATCAAATATAATACATCATTCATTAGCACCTATGACAAAAAAATAAAGCATTTCTTTTTTTGGCATAATACAAGCGTTATTTTAATCTAATCAAAAAAAATCGGCTTGTCGGGATTTCATTTTGATATCAGGTAATCCAGGAAAAGTATATAAACGGACAATGAACAGCTTTTAAAGGAGTGGCAAGTCTGAATTAAAAAAAAAAGGAAGAAGCTTAAAATAACTTAAAACTCCTTTTTTTCTAAAATTCATAAAATCTTGCAAAATCCAAGCAAGCTTTAAAAAAAGGCTATTACCAAAATAGAAAGAAATAAAAAAATAGGATGGAAATCATTTGGGGAAAATGCTAGCCTTTCAAAACAGTAAGATATTATTAAATGACTGGGAATTTCTATCCCCTGAAAATAGTAAGTGGAGATCCACACAACAACAAAGTCATTTTCAAACTAAATAAACACTTATTTGGGATGCCAGGAAACACATTAGAAATTATTCGTAAAAATAAAAAAATTAAGCAAGCAAAAATTTAAGCAACAATTTCTTATATATATCGTTAGGTAAATGCAAGAAATTAAAGAAATATTTTTGCCAATCCATGATATTATTTACGAATCTAATGAAATTTCCGAATTATTTTCTAAGATTTATCAATCAAACATTAAGATCATGTAATTTTCAAAAAATAAAAAAACAAATCCTTCTTAGAAGAGCAATTGCATATATTCATGAGGTACAAAATGACTACGAATAATGAATAAAATGAATACTTTCTACTTCTAAAAATTCAACTAACAAAAAAATATATAAGGAAAAGAGAAAATGAATTCAGAGAATACAAACATTCTTTTATTCTAGAAACCTCTCTATAGAAAGAAAATTATATAAAAAGAAATAATACAACAGATAACGATGGAAAGACAAACAATACAGCTAACATAAACAAAACATATATTCTGAAAAGAAGAACAAACTTACGAGTTCTCGTAAAATAAAGTTATAAGGATTTCTAAATCCCAAAACGATTTACTTACTTATAAGGCCTAAATCGAGAGCTTCACGTTCGGCCCATTCATCAATCGATTGTTGCGTTTCTAGTGGTGAATCATCTTCCACATCACGCAACGCATCTATTATAAACGAACCTGCAAGCTACTTCATTTTCTTTATTCCTTAAAACAAAGTAATTTAAAATATAATAAAGTAAAAGTCGTAAAACTAAAATAAAAAATGCAAGAATTAAGAATTAAACAACTTAATGTAAAGAAGCACTACATATATAGTTATAATATTTGCATGTTAGTTATGATATTTGGTTAGTTATGATATTTGCATTAATTGCCACCTTGCAAGACGGCATTTTTTTGCATGTTAACAAGATGGCATTTAGGATATGCCAGAGAGATGAAAATGAAAAAACTAGAAAAACAAATATGTTTCTCCTTCTTTTGACAGGTGGTTAAACATTTTGTTCCAGGGTCTGGCTAACGCCAAACTCCATAATGATAAACTAATTAAATGAATAAGAAATGATTAACAAAGATTAGTTAATTGCTATATAACAAGAGACGAGTTATCTTACGATGAGTGGTCAATGCATCGAATTCGTCGTCTGATGAACTTTCACTCAGGTTATTCTTCCTATCTGAAATATAATCGAGATTGAAGTTCGAACGAAGAAGTGAATATCAAACGGAAATATCCAGTGTCTGTAAACAGCGGTGATAGTGGCGTAAAAGTATGCCAGATGCTAACTAACATTAGTCTAGAAAAATATATATAACAACTGAAACTATTTTTTTTAACTGTCTGTTTTGGATCTCTCATTGGTTAGTAATAATTCGTAACTGATACATTTACATTATGTTAATTGGCATTTGTTTTGTATAACATGCAATATTTTTTCTAAATCTAATCCTTTTCTTCTCAAATAACTGTTCTTGTCTATACTTATTTCTTATATACAACACTTTTTTTTATTCATATTAAACAATGATACATACCAAGAAATCCATGAGAAATTGAAAAAAGTTCTTCTGTATCACTACATGAAACACTATAATCGCTTGTATCTAATACCACACGACTATTACGTATGCGTAATGATTGAATATTACATATCGTTCCTCCAATAACCACTGTGATCATCTGCAAGTTCTTTTTTCGTTAACAAGAAAATTCTCTTAACCATTTATGAAAAATAAACAAAACATAATTAAAAGATTAAAAAAATAATATAAAATTGCATGCAATAAGCATCCAAATAAAATTATCAAAGCAATCAAAATGAAATAAATTTTAGGAAAACAATTTGAAGTGGAGAGAAATAGAATATGTAACCTTCAATGTTTGAGAATTATCAAGCATTGGGAAAGCATCGAGTAACGCCTGGATGGCAGTTGAAGTTACCTGAAAGAAAGCTTATCTACTATTATTCTAATGATTTTATTTTTCTCCTTATTGATCTTATATGAAAACATAAGTGACAGTAACGACAAATAATAGATTATAATTATTTCGATTTACGAAAAAAAGTAAAATTGATTCAAAAAGTTTTGATTCAAAAAGGAAAATAATCAGGATTACCAAATTAGCGGAATGGAAGCATCAAAATTAAAAAGCATTTTCTAATCAGGTAAAAATTTCAAATAACCAACAAGAAGACATCCACTAAGATCAATATGCTCCAAATTTTTCAGCGTCGTTAACGAGCAAACACCTTCACCACTTAAATATGTGCAACAACGAAAGGAAATAGTTTGTAGCATTGAACAACCGCAAACAATTGCCGACAAAGATCTATCTGTTATTGCTGCTAGTGAGCTAACATTAAGCTGAAAAAAATGAAAGTTGGCAGCTACTTATTCAATTTTTATCATCAAATTTTAGACGTACTGTTTGAAGTCCCTTTAATTTTCCAATCTTCATAACACCTTCTTCAGTTATCGTTGTATCCGAGCCAGCATACGCCAGACTGAGAAGGTGCAGATGCGGAAGATTATCAGTTATTTCTGCCAACACTTCATCCGATACCGCTGAATTGTAATCTAATCTAAAATTGTTTTTTATAATCGAAGCTTGATAAATGATTTCAAATTTTACTATTTTTGATTCAAGCTGATTTTAAACTCCAGTTATTGAAATCGAGATGAAAGAATTAATGAAAGATAATTCAAAAATAGACAATTCCAATAAAAAAAATTTTTTTGATGTTGAAATAGGATAAAATCAATTTTGTTCTAGGCAAGAAGTTTCGGTAAATTTTCATAAACAAGAGAAAATACTTACGAGAGTTCACACAGAGAATGCAGCCGTAACAGAGCTAATAGACCATTTGAAGTTAAGTTCGGGAAATAATCGCCACATAAAGCAAACGACTTTAAATAGGTCAAGCTCCTCGATATCAAACTACAAGTCAAGTTTCTATGAAATTTGGCGTACACTTTAATAATTTATATAATAAAATCTCACAATTTACTATCAGTTTGTCTGTTTAAAAAATAAAAAAGTATTTAGTAATGCAGAAATGGCGAATTTTCAGTGTCCTCCGACGTAATCCTTAGGGTATTAATTTACATATTTTTTCAATAGCTGAAAACTGCTCACAAGAAGTCTAATAATCCTGCAACCAATTCTTTTGGCAATTTCTTAGTGTTAAGGATCTTTCCTTGTAACATTGATAAAAAACTCGAACAAAATAATAATGAATAGGAAATTGTGCAATCTATGTTCTATACCTTTGCAAGGGAACTACAGAAATAATATTAAGTTTAAATTGCTCGATGCATTAATGACACAAATATGATTATTAAAACAAAACTCTATACTGTATGTACTTTTTGTAAAAATAAAAAAAAAATGTGGCTTCAATTACCTGAGTATATCATCGGAAACCAACTGACAGGAACTTAACCGAAGTTCAGTAATATTCGGTGAATTAAGACACAATTCTTCCAGTGATTGCTTGTCTAGACGACAACAACCATCAAGCAAAATCTGGAAAGACATTAAAATAATATCAAGACCGAATTATTCATCACACTTTCTTCCTATTTTCCCTCAAAATTATCTTATAAACTTTCACTATTTCATAATTGTGCATTTTTGATCTTTCGAAATTTTTCTTCATTCAGTTGCAAATTTTAAAAGAAAAAAGTGACAGTACATTTATAAATTGCACAGCGGATATCACTTATAAGAAGGAGAGTATGCTCTGATTCATAAATAACAGTTCATTGTTTCGAAGAAATACTGTCTTACCTTTTCTAGAGAATCTCCAAAGAGCCGAAAGCAACGACCTTTGAATCGTCGACAACCCCGAAGATCAACTACATGCATATTCATACCTAATGGCTTAAACAAATACCACATTGTCTTATCACTCACATCTACCATATCTCTATATGTAACAGAACGTAAATTCGTCAGTGGCTCACCGAACGTACGCACTGTTTGCCAGTGACCACCGAGTCCCGATAAATTTACCTAAAATAAATGCGTATTTGATATCAGACAGCTGAACAGAGCATTGAACTTCAAACAGGAGGTAAATTTCCGACAAACTTGGCTTCTCAGTTCGATATGTGATTCGATCAGTATTCAAGATTGAATACTAAAAAAATGAAAAAAGTTTTTCTTGAAACTTATCTCTTCTAAATTTGGACATGAAGATGAAATTATGTAAAAAGCTTGCTCATCTAATAAATGTACCACTCCGGATAAATCCAAACACTTCAGATGTACACCACAACGAGATAAAAGTGCCTGTAATAATCAGTAATCTTTGCTTAAGTTCAAAAACCAGGAATTCGAAAAATTCATGAAAATAGATATGATTAAATAAATAAAAAGATTATGCTTTTTTGGTTTAAAAAATTACTCAGTGTAAAATATATCGACATTTTTCGAGCAATTTTCAAAGAGTATATTTTAGAATAAGTATATAACGAGTTAAAAAGAATATGTTACAACTGCAGAATAAATGATACGTTACTTTCAGATGAATATTTCGAAGAGGATTTAGCGATGAGAAAGTGCACCCAAAATTACTATCACTTGAGAATGACAATGTATCGTTCCATTTCCAACTCTGTAATTCGTTGAATAATTTAAAAAAGAATCAATATGTATTTCTTTCAATCACTTCTGAAAATATTAGAATTTTCGACTGCATTATTACCCTTCTAAGTACTCCTGGAAGAATAATAACGCTACTGAATTTATTTCTATGAACTCAACATTCCAGTTAGGATTCCAACACACAGAGAAGCTATAACCAGATCCAATAAAACTAGAGTATCATGCAAAGAATACATCATACAAACTACCAAGCTAGTAAGAAAAAAAAACGATAAAAGGAACCTCAATGGATGATTCCAGAAAGCTTTTGCTTACTCTTTCTAATCGAATTCGATCCATTGGTGGCAAGAAAGATAAGATCAACGTAAGTACTCTTGCCGGCAGTACTGACAGTGATAGTCGATTTGCAAACTGAAAATATCCCAGCTGAATGATAAAAAATTTAAGAATTTCAAAAGAAAACCATCCATGTAGAGTCTGGAATAGAGATGATCGGTGAGCAGAGTGATGAACATCTTACACCACTGAACAGATAAACGAAGTAGTTTGTCGATTCACCTATTTTTATTGATGGTAGAGGACATATTGTAATAAATGACCTGAAGTCATGCCTCTATAATTAACAAGAATTTTAGTGCAATGAGAAGTTCCATAAACCATAGAAAATTTCAATTATTTAGCCATAGAAACAAACCAACGATGCAACGTCTGCTAATGTACATAATGTTGTGCTTCGCGATGCAACTGTTACATTGTTCGAAAGATCATCTAAAGAAATAAACGTTAAGTGAACAAAACAAAATTAGTTGCAAAACTTGCAAATAATTAAATTACAAGTTTTTAAAATTTCAACCAACTTTTTAAGAAAACTGGCATTTAATCTTAAATACAACTATTACTGATGTCATTTTTTTTACACTTCTACTTGCGTATTTCTTGAATTAGGATATAAAAAAAGTCGAATATGCTTTATTTTCTATACATACTTATTTCTCCTCTTTTACTTCTTTCTGCTCCAAATAAGAGCAGTGATGTTATAACCTATAGGAAGAAAATCAGAAGTTATCGTAGATTAAATAATTAACATATAGTTTCGATTTTTTTTAAAAAAAATGAAATTTATTTTAAGCACAATTTATTCGCATCAAATATTAATTATGGAATACTTGAGCCTGAATAGGTATCTGTCTTCTCAATCGAATCCATGATATTCTTCTTCTTGACTGATAACTGAAAAAAAGCCCAAATTTTAGTAGAAAATATGTTATATTTTCTATTACCGGTCATTTTAATATATATTTATGCACTGTGACCTTACAGTTATACTACTCTGACATAATATAAGCTACTTATTTTCATCACTACTGATTTTTTGTGAAGTTTGCTTCCAATGTGTAGCTCTAACTATTCGTTCATCAATACGATTTCTAGAATAAAATAAAATGTTAAAATGTTTATCTTCAGCATTTAGCAATTAATAAGGAGATCACCAATATTTCCAATGTTAGCTTTACTAAGGTTTTGTAAATAGAAATTTCTGATGAAAGTATGAGCTACATCTGGGAGAAAAAAATTGTTTACACTAACAAAAAAAAAACTTTGGGGATTTACAAACAATTAAATAGAAAGACATGTTTGCTAAAAGATGAAGACTTATTTATCTGAATTCAAATTAAACAAGGATTCCCGATACTGTATTGTAAACAACAGAAATGTGAAATAGAAAAGTGAAAAATGATTTATCAACTTTAACTGCACTTCCTCTGCACAAGTCATACTCTAATAACTTCAAAATTATTGAATGTTAATAATTTCAAAAATATTAACAATACAACGTATGTTTAGAAAATTTTTTAATTTAAAAACCGATTTCAAAAGTTCTAGAAAAACAAACAGTTACAGCTTACTTGTGATATCGACATCACCTGGTCATAAAATCTCAGTTCATCTGGAGCTGCATTTCTTGCCCGTTCCACACCCTCCATACTTCTGAATGAAAATGAAACCAATCAGAAATTTCAGAAATCGAAAAATAACATTTTTATACTTTGAATTAATGTTTACAGCAAAAAAATTCAAATTTTAATGTTTTAAAAAACTAAGTTAAACATAATCGAAGCATTCTCTTCAACTGACTGGAAAGTGATGTAGGCGGTTAAGTTCGATCGAGGTTTTTTCGGCAATGTAGCATAGGGTGAACTATGGCGTTCTTCTGATGGTATAAAACAAATTGAAACCTGCAAAGAACAAAACTTCTGGCTAAACTGTAAACCAAATGGTCGATCTCTTCGAAAGAAAACTCATTCTGCAGGGAACTACAAGATAAAACAAAAAGTGCTTAATTCATAAAGCGAAAAAAATCTATCCTAAGCAATGTTTGTTGCAAAGAATTATTTCCGATTAAGATGTATGTGCTGCTACTACCACCTATAACATGCAGCATGATAATCTAAGCATAACTAAAAACAAATTTCAAATTCTTTTCAAGTTAGGAAACTTACTCAAATGATGAAAAACGACATTGCTACCATCAGAGCGTGTTACCCAAATTCAATGGCAATCGAAATAGTATTAGAGTACGTTACCAAAGTAATTCACTACAGCTCTAATGTGGACATAATGCAAAGTAAAACGGAACAAAATCAAACAAATCTTTTTTAAGAATATAAATCGAAATATATACATAATTAAAGAAACTCACAGGACCAAATTTTGAGAAAAATGATTTAAGCTGATTAGCCGTGACACGCCGGGAAATATTCGTGACGAGAATTTTTCGATCTTCATTTCTTGATCTTTGACGTGAATTGCCACGCTCTCTTGTTTCCGTTGGAGATGATATTGCAAGATTAGGAATCAAATCACCGGAAATTTATGACATATAATCATAAAAATTCAAGAAATGAAACCATAAAATGGTTCACCAATTCTAATTAAGAACAATCTACTAAGTCTCAATCACAAAACGTACAAAATTCGCACAGTACTTGCAAGGATATGACACGTAAGAAATAATAATAGTCCTAGTAAAGAACATGAAATTTTTCGATCAAAATATCTATTTTTGGACGAAACAAAAAGAAACGACTTCTTAATATATTTTCATTACACTATAACTGGTAGATCTAGCAAAAAATTCATACAATCAACGGTATTAATTGCTTGTTCATCGGAAGTGAGCATCGGCAATAAACGTCGATATTTCAAAAATTCGACTGCCGAATGAGACCACGTACGTCTAAAGAAACAAATTTCAATGTTTTAGAAATTTAAAAAAAACATTTTCATGCAAGCAAAGTTCACAAAAATTCACGAAAACTGAAATTATTACACCGAATTAACATTAGCTGCAGAATGCACTGTTTGCGTCGGTACTGAATACTTCAATGTAATATGTCCCAGATTATGACTTTGCTCTTGTACCACACTTTGTACACTCAACAACAAGTATCACTAATCTTTATCGAGTTCTCTTGATCACTTATTATAATCTACAAATGAATGTCAACAAAAACAGATGTAAGACATGACTATACACTAAGCCTAATTACCAATGACATCTTACCTTAATCGCCCAATACTGAAGAATCTGGCACGTGTAACAAAATTCTGAAATGTTTCAGAGAGATCGTTCAAACCACGATTCTCCAAATTGTAACCATGAAGGCGTCGTAATGTTTTAAACATTGCCTAAACCACTGAATTGGCTAATTGACAATATTTATCATTTATTTCATATAAATTATTGCTGTCTTATCATCACTATCACCAAATTAATCACCGTACAAACCAGGAATTCCTGATAGTGACATAATATTTGACATGATCATACACGGCTCAACCATAGCCGTTAATTGATGTAGTTCTGTCAAGAAAAAACAATTTTTCCAATCTCGAGTTATTGTGCGAAAAAATATTTTAAATTTACTTTTAGGATTTGTGCAGAAATCAAATTACAATACTGACGAAAGCTGGCATCTAATAAAAATTTTTGCTAAATTGATGAATAAAATTATTCTTTCTCAAAGGAACTCACAAAAAGATTTGTAATTTGTTTGAGAAAATGATTAGTCGCCTCTTGTTCTACACTTCTAATTTCAAAAATAATTTATTCTCATCCAAACATTTTTTAAAGTATAGTTATTAGAAGCGATGATTTTGGTAAATAAGTTAATATAAAAGTTAATGTAAAAATACTTCAATATAGTAAAAGTTGAACTTGTCCTATAAAATTTGTTGTATTAAATTGCTTTCACTGAGTTAAATTCAAGTTTTCTTGCTAAAAAGTGAAAATGTGCAACAAGAGTATTTCAATACTAACCGCTGGTCTTGCAAATGTACAAACTTCATTACGGAAATCCATCATGAACTTGTTATTATAGACCAAACGCTTAGCAAACTTTTGATTTTATCATTCAATAATAATTCATTCATTACCTGCAAGAGATATGCATATTTGATATGCGCAAATTAACTAATATATTCAATTTCTGATACACTTTAAAAATTGAAAATTCCCATCATTTGCTTTAAATATGAAATATTTTAAAAGCGAAGAAATGATAGTTTTATCAAACAAATTAATATAAAAATACTGTAATGTTATAGGTTTAGCTTTATATATATATATGAATTATCAATTTCAAAATATTTCGTACAATACATGTAAGAAAATTCAAATAAGCATACAGAAAGCTATTTCATCAACAGATTATAAATAAGTCAACAGATTATAAATAAATAAATAAGATTAAATAAGTAAAAT